CCCAAAATAAATTGCCTGTTAGTTGTTTTCGTAAACTTTTAAAAATAAAATATCTAAACTACCCTTAAAATAAGTAACTTTTTTTCACCTTATCTTCTCATTCATCATCACTCCTCTTAAAAAGTAATGGCAATTTCCAAAAATCAACACTATTTTTTATTTTCCTTAAATATGCCCAAAAGTCAAAACGGGTGATTTAAATTGGTACGGAGGAAGTATTTTTTTTGATACACTTAATTCTAGCTGATATTGCACAAAAGCCAATTGATAGAGTAACGGCTATCTAATCTAATTCAAACAAATACTCATAATTGTGTAACATTGCTGAAAACGCGCATGATGTTCTAATTAAGTTGGACTTTTTTCACGCTAACAACGTTGTTTATGTCTCACTTCCTAGTTGGGTTTTTCATGTGTTCATCCAGCAGGGAATGTCTCATCACATGTATCTATACATGTATATATTTATAACACATATATATGTATCCACCAAAATGTTCAATAATTAACCTACAAAAACTAAACTTTGCGATTGGTTTGGAAATTAATTGTTAGCGCTTAATCGTCGCCGTCCTTATGATAATCTCATTTGTTCTCCATCTCTTTCTAGTGACGATCTTCGTGACATTCGCGACACTCACATGCATGAATCAAGAAGACCGGGAAATGTATTTGGTGTTAACGGAAGGGGACCCCGTCGCGTTTCTTGAACAAGAGAAACACGGCAATCGCAACGGGTAATTGGTGTGGTTAAGGAAAATGAAGATTAACTAATGATGGTCTTGATTAGGAAAATGATTTGCTTGATTGGGCAGTACTTAAATGACTGACAGACTTGATGGTTTTTTTTATAGCAGTGAGAGTTTAAAGGCTTATGCCAAGCAGTTGACAGAATCCCATGATGAACTGCTAGAGTCCTGTTTGGATGTGGGAAGTTACAGCAAGATTTACAGCTTCAAACACATTGTAAATGGATTTGCAGTCCACACTACTCCTTCTCAGGTAACTTATCACCTCTCCACAACACTATAACAAGCTATAACACCTTTTTTTCAAGAAATCTTCCTAAATAGAACTAAAATATGAAACTTATAAGAGCGTTTTTGTACTGTAAGTGCCATAACTTGTCATTGTTTATTACTCTTTCTGGTCCTAAAAACTCTTCTTGTTTTAACTTTTTCTAGTCAAACAGTGACACTCTTTGATTATAAATTATATATAATCTAAATAAATAAATGTTATAATCTAAATATAGATAACAAAAAGCACACATAGTTTGGGCATGTGAGGCGGCGAAGTGTCGACGCCCCGGAGATGCAAGAGACTTACATTAGGGAATAGGTAGACCTAGGAAGAATTGGAAGGAGGTGATTAGTCAAGATCTAAGACTTTTTGCTCTCACTGAGGATATGACCTTAGATAGGAGCGTCTGGAGAGTTAGGACTAGGGTAGTTGGGTAGGCGCTTTGGATTTTGTGGTTGTTTCTCCACTCGTGTGCTCTGTTTGCTTGTAGGCTGGATGCCCTTTGGTGATGTGTTTTTGTTTAGTTTTATTAGTTTATTCTAGGCCTATGTGTGCTTTTTGTTATCTTTGCTATAAATGTCTTTTGTGACCTCATTATTATCTTTGTTGTTTGAGTCAGGGGTTTCTTGGAAACAGCCTCTCTACTCTTGAGTAGGGGCAAGGTCTGCGTACGCACACCCTCCCAGACCCTACCCTCGTGGGATCCAACTGGGTTGTTGTATCATATTGAATTTATATCATAATTTAATACACTTTTCTCACAATTTTTGGTCAAAAAATATCACAATGTGACTAAAAATCAAAACATGAAGAGTTTTTAGGACCGTAGGAGTGATATTTTACATTGTCTTTTAGCATTATATGTTGGCATTATAAAACCTAGTTTAGTTTAGGACACTAAAGATCCTATTTCTGTATATGGAGCATGGTTTAGTCCTAGTTAACTACTTTCCCCTAGTTATTACCCTATATATGAATATGAATGAATGGACCCCTTAAAGAGAAATGTCTCTCCAGATTGAGAAGGTGAGGAGAGCAAAAGGGGTGAGGTTAGTGGAGAAGGACAAAAGGGTCAAACATATGACAACATACACTCCACAATTTCTTGGGATGGAATCAGCATGGACACAAGAAGGGGGAGAGAGAGACGCGGGCGAAGGCATTGTCATTGGATTTGTTGACACCGGGATCAACCCCTCACACCCCAGCTTTGCCTACGACCCTACCCACCCGTTTTCTCCAATAACTTCCCGTTTTTCCGGGGATTGTGAGTCTGGTCCCCTGTTTCATGAGTCTGCCTGCAATGGAAAGATTGTGTCTGCCAGGTTTTTCTCAGCCGGGGCACAGGCTGCTGCTAACCTTAGTGCCTCAGTTGATATTCTCTCCCCTTTTGACGCCGATGGCCATGGAAGGTAGCATAGATTACATTATTCATACTCTGTATGAATAATCGATTATCAAACCATCATTCTTTAATTTCCCAAATCATTTTGCAGTCATGTGGCTTCAACTGCTGCTGGGAATTCAGGAGTTCCTGTTGTGGTAGATGGCTTTTACTATGGTAGATCCAGTGGAATGGCACCGCGTGCAAGGTTAGTGTTCATTGTATATATATATGGAGTTGAAGCATAATGGCTTATACTTTGTTTTCCATCGACAGGATTGCTATTTACAAAGCGATATATCCAAGTATAGGAGTTCTCTCTGATGTCTTGGCAGCTATTGACCAAGTAAGTTATCGGCTTAATTAGGAGCTCTCTCAGTTCAAGTTCCTTTTCTTTTGACTTCCAATTACAGTAACCAGTTCCCATAATTTGCAGGCAGTGTTAGATGGAGTGGACATTTTGTCACTGTCAATAGGTCCAGACGATCCACCCGAAGAGGCACTCACATTCTTGACACTGTTTGAGATCTTCATGCTGGCGGCACACAAAGCTGGAGTTTTTGTTGTCCAAGCTGCTGGAAACCACGGTCCGGGTCCTTACAGTGTCATCTCTTTCAGCCCATGGACAGTTGGAGTTGCAGCTTGTGACACAGACAGGAGTTTCCCCGGCACTCTCATTCTTGGCGATGGTCAAAAGATCAGTGGCATAGGCTTATCAGGTCTGAGCATTTTTCCCTTTCTTAGTTTCTTTCCAAGAATTCAAGTTTTAGGAGATGGCTTGGGGCCTTGGGGGCCATGAAAAGACTTCCAAGATTGGATTTTTTTTCTTGATAGGCTCAACATTGGGTGGTGGGGTGCTTCAACAAAAGCTGGTTTTGGCTAAGGATGCGACAAGGATAAACGGAACGTTCCCTATAACTGCAGAGTACATAGAGGGGTGTCAGCATCCAGAGGCATTAGAGGCTTTTGTGGTGGAAGGAAGCTTGGTGATCTGCAGCTTCTCAGCTGGTTTCTCCAATGGATCAGCATCTCTAAACTCTGTTATAAAGACAGCAAAGGCTCTTCGGTTTGGGGGGTTTGTATTTGTCGCAAACCCAACCTATGGTGACTTCATAGCTGAGCCCATCCCCTTTCACATCCCCGGGATTTTAATCCCAAGAATCAATGACGCGCAAGTACTGAACGACCCAAACTCGCAGTTCTTTATATGTCCATTCATATTTTTTTATTGTAAATATTTTGCAATGTGAAATGACTTCGCAAATGCTTGACAGACCATATTGAGCTACTATGAAAACCACACTGCAAGGGACGACCGGGGAAATGTGATGAAATACAGCGGGCGTGCTGCCATAACTGAGGGAAGAATCGCTTGTTATGCCTCGCGAGCTCCGGTTGTTAGCCGGTTTTCTTCCAGAGGTCCAGATTTCAGTGGTGAGAGCAGGAATCCAGCTGATGTACTTAAGCCTAACCTTTTGGCTCCAGGGCACCAGATTTGGGCAGCTTGGAGCCCCATGAGTGTTTCAGATCCCATTCTTTCTGGTAAGTCCAAGTTAAGAAATCTAGATTAAGGGGCCATTTGGCTTTGATTCATCTTTCTGTGAATCTTAGTTCTGAGAATCAGCTCTTTCAAAAAGAATCAGAAAATGATTGATATTTTTAGAAGCTAAGCCAAATGGCTCCTAAACCAGCTTATTAATTGGACTCAATCTTTGAGAAATGATTGGAAGAATGACATTTTAGGGCACAACTTCGCAATGATCTCGGGGACGAGCATGGCAACACCACACGTTGCAGGCATTGCGGCGCTCATAAGACAGAAATACCCTTCGTGGACCCCGTCCATGATAGCGTCGGCATTGTCGACCACTGCAACCACACAAGACAATCTTGGAGAAACCATAATGGCTCAAGGACTTGAGCTTGACAGCTTACACCCCTCAGCACCCTTTGGCTTTGGTTCTGGCCTAGTTAACCCCTCCCGTGCACTCGACCCCGGTCTGGTTTTCTCAACCGAATTCGAAGACTACATTGGGTTCCTTTGCTCCCTACCGGACATTGACCCGGGGGTGGTGAAAACCGCAACGGGTGGAGTTTGTGACCATGTATTTGAACATCCAACCGACTTGAACTTGCCTTCGGTGACCATTTCGTCCCTGGCTGGATCTAGGCTGGTGCGCCGAAGGGTCATAAATGTAGCCAGCAAACCGGAGAGTTACACGTGTGCGGTGGTGCCGCCAAAAGGGGTGGCGGTTGGTATAGAGCCGCCGTGGTTTGGGATACCCCCACAAGGAACTCAAGATTTGGAGATAAGGTTTAATGTTACAGAAGTAGGAAAAGACTTCAGCTTTGGTGAAATTATCTGCACTGGGAGTTTGGATCATATCATGAGGATGCCCTTGTCAGTGTTGCCTATCTCTGCAGCTTCCCTAACCTAATAGAACAATTTACTCTTCTTTCATGAGATAATAATAATTATCTCATGATTATACTTTCAAGTTTTATTATTTTATCAAGCTCTGCATTTACACCTTAGCTAGTTAGTAGTTACCAACCTCAATAGAAAGCTACCAAGATTAGTTCAAAAAGGTAAAAATCATGATCTATGCTCTCTTTACATAATTTGTTCAAGAAATAGGAAAACAAATGCATAAATCTTCTTTGCATATAATGTGATATATCATCTACTGGCTATAATCATTCACAAGTGATCAAACTTATTGAAATTACTTACAACTCTGCAAAAGCTGGTACTTAGTATGGTGTGTCGGTAGAACCATGTTCCGGTGTCTTGAATGAAAATCTTGACTCACCACTAGTTCTTATTCTTGCTATGCTTGCCCTTCGCACTAGCCGAACAATCGCTTGAACAATGTCAGACATTGGAGGACGAAACTTGGGTTCAGTCTGTATATAAAGGGAAACATTGATGCCATTGATATCAACAAAAAAAAAGAACAAATCCATATCATCAAGTCATTTTTTTGCTTATATTTCTGTTTAAGAAAAATACGTGCGAAGAGGCATACCTGAACACATGAGGCAATGATGTCAGCGAAACGGGACAATGACTTGGCAGGGTACACGCCATTCAAAGCAGGATCAACCATTCTTGCTAAAGCATCGATGTCATGAAGTTGAGGTGTGGCCCACCTCACAAGTGACTGTTCAGATCTCTCCCGCGAACTAAGAGACGTGTTTCCAAAGGAAGAGATCAATGAAAGTAGTTGAGAATAATCATTGGTTGTTTTATAGGTCTTGAATGTTAGTGTAGAACTTACCTATCAAGTGGCTTCCTTCCTGTCAATAACTCAAGCATTACAACACCAAAACTGTACACTTCGCTTTTAACAGTACAAATTCCAGATAATACAAACTCGGGGGCGCTGTAACCAAATGAACCAATCATCTGCGTTGATGAAGCCTAGAAATTGTTGATAACAAAAAAAAACAAATGTGATCCTAAATATATGTAAAATGCATGCAAGGTTTAATGTTCTACCTAACATTTCTTAATTCATGTGCAAAAATATAGGGAACTATCTTTGTTGGATTGAGAGAGTAAGCAACAAGCTCAAAAATAAGCTTCTACTACGTATGACGCACACATAATACATTGTTACAAACTTCATCTTACCATATATACACTGTAAAAGGTTTCTCAAAAACTAGAAAAAGTATTTTTACTTCCATTTTCAATCGTATATCCTTTTTCAAAGCTCAATCATATCATTGGCATGGTCCCAAATTAAAGGGGGGAAATGGAAAAGAAAAAAGAAAATATAAAAAAATATTCCCTTCATCCCCTACAAAAGAGTCATATTTGTAATACTGATTTCAGCACTGCAAACAAGACTCCTTTTTTGGGGACGAAAGTAGTAATAAACATCTTACACAATCTTACCTGGTGTCCTGTAGATAAGCCACAATCAGATAACTGAGGATTGAGGTCCTCGTCTAACAAAATGTTTTCCGACTTAAAGTTTCCATGTACAACAAAAGGTGTACAAACTTCATGCAAGTACCTGGCATTTGATTATAAACCCAAACAATGAAAAGAAATAACAATGCCAGAATTGAAAAAAAAATAAACTCATTTTACGTACTCTAATGCCCGAGCAACCCCAAGTGCTATTTTAATGCGTGCATTCCAAGTCAACAGTTTCTTGCTCCTCTCATTACCAAAATGCAGCATATCATGTAGGCTACCATTCTTTACATAATCAAAGACCAGAAGACGTTGTCTGTGCTCTGTACAGTATCCCACTAGTGGAATAATGTTTCCGTGTCTCAGCCTTGACATCTTTGTGACAATTTCCAGAAAATCATCTTCCTCTTGCAATGACAATATTGCACTATCAATCTTTTTTATGGCCAGTATCTGCTACAAATATAACAAGAAGCTACCATTTGAATTTTAATAATCCACATTTGGGTTAGCACAGTTTAAGAAAAGTGAAATTGTATGGTTGAAAGTAAACCTCTCCAAAAGTGGAAAGAAAAATATATTCTTTTGGGTGTCCCAGAAAGAAAATGAGGACTACTAATTTGGGACAGATGGATTATACGAGAAGAAAAAAATTACATTTCCATTTGGAAAATCTGCTCTATATACACAGCCAACGGAACCTTCACCCACAAGGTTTTCTTGGCAAAAACTGTTTGTTGCATTTTGAAGTGCAGCAACGGTAAAAGGTGTGGCGGTAATAGTGGAGTTTGCACTCATTACAGAACCTTTCCTCCCCTGTACGATATCTAATGTCATTCTCTCCATTGGTAGAGGCTTCAAGTCTACTACAGTGGATGCCAAATTTGCCCTTGGCTCTAGCACCTTCCTGTTCACTAGAATTACGACAGATAGAAAAATGAATAATCTTTCATGATGATCGGCACTTATGTGTTACCACTATATGCAATAGGATTACCTGTAGAGGCTCTTGTTGCATTTTCCTTACCCTTGCACTTTCGGATGCATATTATAAGTGCAGAAATAGCAAGGAGAACAACCAATGAAGATCCCAAAACTATGCCTATAATATCTCCGGATGTCAAACTTTTCTTTCTATTTCTGTTCTCTAGATTGGATGGTCGGGCTCCATCAGAACCTTGTGCTTTATGAAGATCTGGAGGAAAGTGATGGGTGTCATTGATGTCAGATCCACTAGGTGGGTGTGGAGATGGAGGAAAAAAGGGTGGCGGAGGATCGGTGTCATTGTTGTCAGATCCAATATTGTCAAATGAGTTTCCATCATATCTGTTTAGGAGTTCCACGGCAAAATATAACATTGAATATTCATCGTGTGTCCCCGGATGTAAACATTTTTTTTACATTAGTAAGTGTAATGCTCACATGAAATTAGGAATTGAAATCATTTCATATGGTACCAATCCACTGAAATTATTGTTTGCAACATTCCTGCAAATTAGTTCAGCCATATATGTACATATCAACTGATTTTGGCATTTAACAGATTGAGCTAAAGAACAAGAAAGCTAGGAGTTGACACTCACAAATCAATCAAATGTAAATCAACCAGAACATCAAGTGTACCAGACAGTTGGTTGCCCTGCAAGTAACTGACAGAATCGCAGATATCATGAGATCAAAAGGAGACAAGACTGAATGGCTAATCCTAGTAAGCATCAACTTATCATACTTACAGTATGGCCAGATTTGACAATGAACCAATGGAAGGAGGAAGATCTCCACTAAAATTGTTGAAAGAAAGATCCCTGGAGATGGAAATAATGTGCTTAAAGTTCAAAAGTGAATCGAGAAAATACAGCAAAAGCAAGTGAAGATACATTATCAAAACAAAGATTAAAAATATCATGAATCAAATATCAAGAACTTGAATATAATTCAAGAATGAAGTGGTTAAGATTGAGTTTGGACCTAACTCAATATGAAGTACATTCATTCATATTGAACACTCTTAAACATCAGTTGCCATAAAATTAAACGAAATGAAGCATGTAAACATCCAACGGACAATTAAGTAAGTGATGATAAAGCACTAGTTGGGATGGCTTACAAGGTTGCAAGGTCGGAATGGTTAGTAAAAACATCTCCAACAGATTGATGGAGAGAGTTCCTGCTAAGATTTCTAAACCATGAATTGCTTCGAGTTAGACACTTCAATATGGTGGAGTAAAAAAGAACACAATTCCAAGTATAAAATTGCAGACAATTTTCCACTTTTGGTCCATGACTACTAGATCATTTTTATTTTTACTTATGGTGCGACTATGGATTCTTGTCATACTTATCCTTTCTAGTCACTTGTCAGGTAAAAAACGGGAAGTGGTCAAGAGGACCAAGAACGACAAGAAATCCTTAGTCATGTGCCAAAATGGGAAAGAATTGAAACTTGAAAACATAATAGAGTGGCTTTATAATCGTGTGACCAAAGATAGAACATTTTCGTGCAATGCACTAAAGTAATGAGTGGATACAAGTCAATCAACTCACAGATAATTAATAGACACCATGTCAATGATTGAATAAGGAATACTCCCACTTAAATGATTGGATGCAAGATTCCTGAATAATAAAAAACGAAAACAATATTCTTTTGAGAACTAAACAATGAACGGAAAATGGCTTGAAGTAAGCCACACTTCACAAATATTCAACATTACAAGTTGGTGAGATCCAATGGTAACTGATAAGGTATTGAGCCATGAATGTTGTTACCACTCATATCCCTATGATGGTAAAAAGCATACCGAAAAGTCAGTGTGTAAGTCAATGGTATACAACTGTGTATTTTAATCTCTTCATGGTGAGAAAGAAATTTTACAGTGTTTTTAGTGATTTGAGACCATCGAGCATGTAACCCATTGTTCCATTCAGTCCAAGTCCAGAAATGTCACTGCTCCAAGAAAACCAAAAATGGTTGAACATGGATAAGGTAAACTTTTAAGTATCTCACATTGAGAACTTACCTACACACTACCCGCCATATAAGAGATAGACACCCTAACCTTATTGTATACTCCATCCGCTCTTAAATAAGTATCCACTATGACTGTCTACTTGCATAAGAATCAAATGAATGTGGACATAATGTATGTCCACATTCAATCAATTTTTAATGTATGTAAAAAGTCATAACGGAAAGTTATTTAAGAATGGCTAAACGGAGGGAATAATGTTTCGACCCATCATACGGCTCTTATATGTTGTTGGACTTGTTTAAAACTAAATTAATTAAAAAGAAAAATGGATATTATAGCATAAACATTACATTGAGACAACAGAGGAGCCTTGACAAGCAACTCCTCTCCACAACTCTCTACAAGGATCTCCACCATTAGCCTTCCAGCCAGTCAACTTTGAAGGACTGTTCAGTGACGTGTATATAACTTGGAGTGATCGCACTGCATAACGGTATTCAGCCATAATATCAAAAGAAGCTCCATTTGTATGATTATATATTACACCAAACATGAAAATGCATCCCTCAGATTGCAGAAGTTGTACTATTGATTAAGCATTTACATAATTATATTGATGGTAATCAGAGTATATGTTATAGAATGGTTTATATAGGACATGAGTTCATACAACCAACTAGGAAAGTTAAAAATTATATGGTTAGGAAAGTGGATGATAATTGAGCATTAAATACGGAGTACATAAGACAAGTTTTTCCTAATATGTAATACTTCGTACTACAGATATGGCATTATGTTCATTTTTCTCAAGAAACGAAAATAGACGAAAACACATGCATGATTATGATAGTGAACCTATAGACACATTAACAATGAGTATCAATTTTGGTCTAATGACTATGGTGTCATTATTTTATATTGGCGTTTGACTTGAAAACTTATTATCGATTTCGGTGAATGCGTATCAATTCCACGAACCGTGGCCCTTCCAGCCATATTTTTGGCAAACATCTGACAGACTAACATATAATTCTCTCAAAATTCCAAACTAGTTTCACCAGGAAAGTGCTCAAAATGACCAATAGTGGTATGAACACCAAAATCGTGCACCCATATTGAAAGTCAACAGCGAATTTGTGAGATCAAAACTGAAAATCAAGAATGTGCAATTTTGTTGGAAAAATTAATTCTTTGACTGGCATTGACTCCAATGCCTTGAAAATGAGCAAATGAACTTCTAACCTGATAACTAGATAATGGCATCAAAACAAACAAAGAAGTACACTTTCTGAGCAAGAACCCAAATTTAAATTATAAGATCACAAAGAGTGGAAGTAGAAATTATACAAAAGATACCCTCTATATGCCATAGTGTTCCCTACAAGAAAATGAAATCACATTCTGATTACAACCACAACAACATACTCTGTAACCAGTAAAATCCCACAAAAGTAGGGTCAAAGATTCAAGAATTCAGCTACTACTTACTCAACATTATTAAAAAAAAAACTGGAAGGAAAAAAGATATTTTTTTATAAAATCAGGAAGAAATGGGGAATTTTAAACACCGCAGAATTGATAAAAAAATTACTCATATAAAAATGGGAAATTTTTTACAGAAACAAAAAGAAAAGCGGAAGAAGAAACTTACAGTCCATGGGATCAGTAGCTGCTTCTACAAAACCCAATGCTAAAATCACGGCCATGATCACTAAAATAACTGCAGTTGCAGTTGAACCCTTCGTCTTTTCCAACGTTAATATTTTCATCAGTATTTACTCTTCTTGATCTTCTTTTCTTCTGTTTAAACGGAGAAAATAATAAAGAGGAGGATGATGTTTGATAATAGGAGAGGCTGGTAGGCGACGCCATAGCCAAAAGGAGAAAGCTTGAGAGGTTATCAGATTCGAAACTTCACTTATGAAGTGAAACATGTGTGCTTTTTTGAGCATCAATCAAGATTAAGAATGTATCATGTCTCCATGAAAGAAGTTCCCTTTGTCTTACCCCTCGGTACCTAAAAAAAAATAAAGCTTTCATTTGATTTCACATAAAATTTAGAAAATGTAAAATTATACTCGTATTAATTTCATCCCAATATATTTATTTAGTTTGACTAATTTAAACCAAACTAGAAAATATTTGGACTTCAATTACTTTGAATATGTATTGCCTATTAGTAAATGAAATAATTTGAAAATTTTCAATAAGATAAATCTAATAAAATCATTTTTATATAAATATGCATTATCATTTTTGTTTGTTAGGATGAAGTTAGGAAGGTAGGAATCATCAATTTTGTGAATAGAGCACCGGAGGTACCTGGTGCTCCAAAAAGACAGTGACAGTGACAGTGACTTTGTAAACCAATGGCTTTGAAACCGTACCAACAAAAGTATTATAACATCGAAGTTCTCATATTTTTTGGGCTTATGGTTTCTACACCATAATCTTTCAAATATCTCTCCGAACAATATACAAGGTAGCAACAATGACTTTTTTTGCTCACCAAAATTTTACTCTAACTAGATATTAATCCGACTTGAATTACACAATTGGTTGAGGAAATGGTAAAGGGTTTGAGGTAAGTCTTCCAAGAAAATCGTTCTATATGCACTAAGGCTAGAACTAGAAACTTTACTTAAATGATATCGAGTCACTTGTAACTTAAATCAAATCCTTTGATAGTGCATGATTAATTTAAAAATAAGCGGGTTTAAAAAAATAAAACAAGGTATAAATTTTGGATAGCCAAATTAGAACTAACACAAATCAATTGTAAATATCCCATCTTATGGGCGGCTATGGCACACAGGGAAATATGAATCCCTTGCACAATTGAACATTGAACTTAAGCTTAAAAAGAATGGCCAAAGTATCTTACTTAAGTTTTATTATTGGTATTTTTGTATAATTTTCTTTGTCTTATAAACTTAATATGAAATAGTATGAGTATTTGATAATGGTCTTTAGCAATTCAATTACAACTTTCTCAATAACTTTATAATTATATGTATGTGATAGTACAAGTAGACGAGTACGTAAAACGACTTCTCTATAGTCTATATTTGACAATTGATCAAATGTCTGGAAAATGTTTGATCCAAGGTAGTTAATGGCAATTACGGATATGGTAGGTTGTAATAGACATTCATATTACAACATATATCTTCACGAATATTTTTCTTGGTCCATTGAAGCTTCCTTTTGACATCTATTGCATTTTGCATGAAAATAAAGTATACCAACTATTCTACTCCGTATTTCTTAATTTAGAGACATGGATGTACCATCATATTTTGGGCTTTCAATATGTTAAATTGATCGCTTGAATGCCTTGAAGAATACATAGTGTAAATCATATTGATCAATGATACACCATACATACCCACATAATTAGAATTTTGAAAATTATTTGTACTCCAAAATCCCAACATCTAACAAACTATAGACTTTTTGACAAATAAACAAAATTATAAAAAAAGATAAGTAAGTCTATCAGTTGTGTCTACTACCTCCTTCCTCCATTCAAAAAACTTGATATTGCAGTCTACATACAATATTTGAATAAACTTGTTTTCAATTTACTCCATTTCAAAATTAATGTAAAAAATAAAATATACTAGTACAATTTATATAATTGGAATTACATCAGGAAATCTATAAAATAAGTCCTCGTAATATAAATAAACAGTATGATTTTGTCAAATAATCAATTAATATAAAAAATGTGAATTTAATTCGAATAAATGTAAATACATACTCCCTCCGTCCCTAAATAAACTTCCCTTTTTGACTTTTTGAGGATTTAAGGGAGAGATATTTTTGTGTTGACTTTCCAAAAATACCCTTGATGTGATGTGTAAAAGTAAAATGTGATATGTAGATTATTAGTAAAAAGGTATGATGTGATAGGTAGGGTATGAAAAAATAAGGGGTAAAAGGGGTTTTTTAAGGGAAAAGAGAAGTTTATTTGGGGATAAAGAAAAAACAAAAAGGGAAGTTTATTTAGGAACAGAGAGAGTATTTTTCAGAGAGGGAGTATTAGTTTAGGAAAGAGGTGAAGAAGTCATCATCATCTTTAGGTTCATCCATATAATATCCCTCCGAATTCTCCGCACTCCCAAGATCCGGTCCCTGCAACATCTGCAAGGTAATCGGCTGTTGACGTGATGCGTTTTGGTTGTTCAATGAGTGGTCGGAATTGTCGGCCGGCATCGTCGGCGGTCGCAGTGCCAAAGACACAGTCCTGGTCTGAGGTTTGTTAATGGCATGGGCATCGCCGCCGCGCCCGGCGGGGACATCGTGGTTGTGTTTTCCCTCGTATGTCGTTATCACGGCCCGGCGGTCGTGGCAGGCTCTCTCCACGTGCTTCCTCACCTGGCACCCTGTGTATGTGCACTTGTAGTAGCTCCTACATTATTGTAGACAAAATTAAACATATTAAGATTTGTTTTTGACCCGAGATTTGATTCAAAAAAACTTATTTTCGAACAAAGATTTAGTTAATCGAATGCGAAAATGATCGAATACGAAATCAACTGGTAAAATAAATCAAATTTGATTGGATCTGAATCGAACAATGGGTTGCAACGTGAGAATATATCCTTACCGAGGATTGGGATTTTCTTTCACGACTTTTTGTCCGTATTTCTTCCACCTATAACCATCGTCAAGAATGTCAATCTCACTTGTTGTTTGAACTACAATTCGCGGTTCTCGCACTGTTGTTCTACTCGCAGATGATAATGCCTCGTTATCGTTATCTCCTTTCCTGAAATCCCAAAAATGAGCCATTGTTAAAGATAAAGAATATTGCTATAATATTTAAATGGTGCCACTAGAATGCAATCATGTCTCCGCCCCTTTCTTAAAATTTCCGGTTTGAAATACTCTAGTGAAAGATATCCATAGTGCTTGTTTAACAACAATTTTAGCGTTTAGAAAAGTTCATATAATGACATTTTTTCACTGTAGCTTTTTAAAAATTAATTTGGACCATTAAAATATTATTCAAAAGGCTAATTAATTAAAAATGTTATCCTCAAACAAGGCCATAGTCATAAAGCTTACCATCTCTTAGCTACGGGTTCACTATCACCGTCATCTCTGGATACAGAGCCTTGATCAAGATCATCATCGCCAAATGAAACCGAAGAGTTCTCAGGCATGATAAAGCCATTATCTCGTGGATGAGTACTCCCAAGCAACGCCACGTTTGGCTGATGGTTCGCGATGTCAACGTCAAAGCTCTCGGATTTAACATTCGAAGAAGAAAACCGTTTAGTCGACTGAGGCTTGGCATGATTATGGCTACCTTTGTAGACAATCTCAGTGATGTGTCCCTCTGAGTTCCTCTCCACCTTCTTCTTCGTAGGGCAATTTGCGTACGTGCATTTGTAGTAACTCCGCGGGTTTTGGCTCCCTTTCACTTGCTTCTGTCCGTATTTTCTCCATCTATATCCGTCCTCGGCTTTCTGGGCTCGGGTGTTCTGTGACGGTTGATTGTAACGGACAACTGTTACGGGTTTCTGTAGCGGGCTCACAGCATTTTCCTGCAAGGAGGAGAGGACCATGTTGCGAGCTTGAGGCTGCATTGGTTTTGGGGCCTTTGTTGAGGAGAGGTCTACAGATTCTATGATTGGTTGTTGCCTTGACATTTGTTGGTCTTCCTGTTTGAACATATAACAATCACTCACTTGTCATTCATGCTTAAACAAATTAAAGTGCCTCCCTTTGTCTAAAATAAAAAATAAAATTAAATTAAAACAAAGTGTTTCTCACTCTATTTGGTAGCATGTTAATTGTTAACGTCACTTTATTTGGTTAAATAAATTGTTTAAATGAGAGTAATGTCATTTTTATGTTTGTGTTTGGATACTTCATATTCTCTTTAATGAGAATATATATGTCAAATTAGGGGTGGGCACGGGTCGGGACGGTTCGGGTTTCTTACAATCCTGCGTCCTGTCCCGGTATAATCAAACGGTTCGGAACGGTTCGAACCACAAGTCTATCCCACTTTGTCCCATAATTTTCGGGACCGGGACAAAACGGAACGGATTCAGATTGTTCTACTTTTTCCTAATTTTAGGACAATAATAAAAATTGAAAACAAAAAGATTGAAAATAAATGCTACAACAATGTCAACAAGTATTAATTGTTAAGTACTCAAAGTGTTTCACGAGATACGTACGGAGTAATATATGTGTGTTTATATATATATATATATACACACACACACACACACATATATATATATACACACACATATATACATATACATATGTATATATATATATATATATATATATATATATATATATATATATNAGTATATAAAACGGGACAAACGGGATGGAACGGTACACTTGTATGTTATCCTGGTAATGTCCCACTTAAAATCGGGACAGAACGGGTTCGGGAAAAAAAAATTTGAATCCAAAAAAAAAGGTACAATTTCAAAACGGCTCCGGCACGTTTCGGAACGGATCAACGGGAACGGTTTTCGTGCCCGCCCCTATGTCAAATTATGAACGGTCTAAGGGTGTGCAGCGTAGCGTAACCCCCACTTATGGCCCCCCATTTTATAGGACTCAATATTTTTTATGCTCTCTCTTTAATTTATTCCAACTATTGAACGTTTTTTTTTTCTAATTTTAAAATTAATTTTTTGAATAAATAGATTTGTGTTTTAATAGTCCAAATTTTGCATAGCTGATTATGAAAATTGAAATTTAGCACTACTTTAGAAACACATATACTCCCCACAAAAAAAAAACTAAAATCTACTCCATATATACTACCGAGTATATGTCAAGTATCATTGCATGCACTTTTAGATTTGAAATTTCAATTCTAATGGTTTTGTCTATAAGCTATAGTGTAGGAGTAGTATTTGTCTACTTTTTTTGTCAAAATTAGTAAATATTAGCCTTAAATTAAACAAAAGTGATATTAGATATTGATATAAAAATAGTTTTATTATATTTATTTTAAAAAATATATTCAAAATCTTACTCCGTATTTTATTTAATCAATGTATAATACTTCCTCCATTTCTTAAAACGCTTCCTATTTAATTTTTTTCTCTTCCCTTAAACACTTTTACTTTCTTTTAAAAACCTATAAACACATTTATTTTTCCTTATCCCACCTATCAAATCATACATTTTCTATCAATCACATCTTACTTTTTTCCATTACATCAAATGTTAAATTAAAAAGTCAACTATAAATATACGTATACTTTTTATTTTGGCTTAAAGTCAAAATAAGAATGATTTACTGTAAAAAAATGATTTACTGTAAAAAAAATCAAAATTGGACAAATATTCAGAGACGAAGATAGTATATGAAAATTTGGAAGGCAAATACTATAGGTTTGAACAAATTGTAATTGACTATAAAAAAGGAGAGAAAATGATGCATAGGAATAAATGAAGAATTGAAGAATATTATTTACCCATGAAGAGGTAATCTGGAAGGAGAAATCATTACTCTTTCTAATTCTTTCTTCTTCTTCTTCTTTCTCATTGGAGGGTGATGACTTATTTAATCCACCAAATGCACCAGTAGTTGGAGATGGAAGAACCTACAAAACAAAAACAAATTAAAAAAATATACTCATGAATAAATACAAGTACTTAATTTATATCCTTATTAAACCAATCACTGCCCATTTGTTTTATAACAATATAATTTTTTTGTATTTAAATATTTATTTTTTGATTATTTGAAACCATTATTTGGTACCTTTACTTTACATATTTGGTAAGGTAAGATTGTGAGTTTTGTGATTGTTTTGTTTGTGACTCTAGCATTACTCAATGCTAGGTTCACAAACAGAAAGCTCACAAACTTATCATTTATGTTTTAAATTTTTATTTAAAATTATTTTAGACTATTTTTTTTTATTGAAATCATAAAGAATAAGTTTGTGAAATTTGTGAAAGTTGTGAATCAAGAATTTCCCTTTTGTATATGATTAATACGTAGTAATTACTACGCCTTTCCTCAAAAAAGAATTGATGATAAAAAATTTTTTTCAATAGTCCAATCGGGCCAAAATATCAAATATGGAATAAATTTCAAAAGTTGATGATTATTTTAAAATTGGAAAAATATCAAAAATCAACTGTAACTAGAAAAAAAGATTTGTATAATTTAGAGTTCCTAAAAACAAAAGGTTGCTTACATTTGAGGCGGGAAAGAAGTGGGGAGAGTCCAGCAAGAGGGAAGGGCTGAAGAGCGGAGGAAAAGTAAGGAACGACGACGGAGATGCCGGAGAAGGCAACGACAACGTCATAGAAGCGGCCGCCGGCGCCGGCGACGACCGGACGCTCAACTTTGGGATTATTATTCCATCACTGTGATGATGATCAAAACCTCCCCAAGTGAACGGGGAAGAAGAATATGTGTTCTGATGGTGGTGGATGTGGTGGTGGCCGGAATCCACGCCGCCCCAACCGTTCAAACTCCCGCCGGAAGAACTCATTTCTACCGGAGTATTTTCTTTCTTTCTCTGTTTCTCCGATCCCCTGTTTTCTTTTTCAACCAGGTCAGACTCTGACCTGATGAAGATGATGATAATAAATAATAATATAATGCTTTTGAGAGGAAGAAGAAGAAAAGGTGATATTTATATAAAAACATGAATTTTATGGCGGTAATGATAGGATTTTATTATTGGGTGAAAAGGAGGGGTTGTATGTTCTGGGAAGATGCTAGGCTCGAGGGTTGACTGCGGCAATGTTGACTTTTCTTTCTTGCTATGGTCCAGTCAAAACTCGTGCCTTTGACCGACTCGGCGGCGGAATCTTGAGATCCCCTCCCCGCCACACCACCCCTCTCCCTGTTATCCCTTCTCTTATTTTTAGCCTAAATTGATAATTTTCCTCGTTCTCTCGATAACTTATATCTTTTGGTATATTTTTTTTGATTATTTAATAAGATAAAATATTATATTTACGTATTGTTTTATAGAGTTCTTTAGTAGTTTTAAGACATGTAAACTATACTCCCTTCGTTCCTAATGGTTTGTTTGGATGATGTTAGAAAATGGGAGAAAAAAGTAAGTGGAAAAAAAATGCGAGGAAAAAAAGGTGAGAAAATGAAGAGAAAAAATTTTGTTTTTTGTTTTTTGTTTTAGAGAAATTGATAAGTAAATGGTGAAAAAAGACAACAAGATAATGAAAAAACAAAGGAATGCTCTTTCATCCATTTTCTCATCATCTATGGTTGAAAAAACCTTTTACATGGTTTCATCCTCTATTTCCTCTCCCTCAATTTTCTCATATATCTAAACAAGTAAATTTGTATTAGTTTTTGTTTTTTCTCATCTAACATTTTTCTAACTTTCTATTTTTTCACCATCGAGCTGAGGGAAAACACGTACTTTTCTTCAACCTATCAATCACAAAAATATATAAACTTTTTGGTTTCTTTCACTGATGACCCATATATAGCCGATTCTCACATCAAATGCCGGTTATTGTGCTTAGTAAAAGCCGAGTTGGCTTCCAAGCCAACTCAACACTTTCTTTTAAAATTCTTTTTCTTCATCTCATAATCTTTCCTTTTTTTCCTTTTTTCTCATTTTCCTTCATCTTCGTCACGTCAATTTTGAGCATATATTGCAGTACATATGGACAACACATTAGTACTCAGGAATTCGATTTCAACTCTGGGGATGGCGAATCGCCCATCCTTTATATCAAGCTGTGTGTAACCATTGTTATCACATGTTACTTAATTACCTGCCACTCGAACTCGCTTCTCCATGGGCACAATCACCCCTAGGGACACCCATAAGGAAGCTCATTACGTGCATTTGCATAGGGCCAAAATTTATTAGGCCCATTTTTAGGTATATTTTCTTTGTTCCACAATAAAATTTAAGTTTAAGTTTTTTTTAAAATTTAAAATAGTTGTTAGAAAATGTTGAAAAGTAAAAATATGACTAGATTTGATTTGAAAGCGTGGTAAAATATTATTCCGTATGAGATACTATTAAAGAATCCCACATCGAAATTTGATGAGAAAACAAATTGGTATATAAGTTCTTGAGTTGGAATAAGTAATCGATTGGATTTAATCTTTTGACATGGTCCAGTCCAAATGTCTTAAAGCCTAATCCAGTTATCTCTACTTAATCCCAAATTCTATCAAATACATATTCTTTTCTTTTGAACAAAGCGTAAACTTTGTAATACAATCTCATTCCAAGTATTCTCTCAGCCCGAAATATATTCTCATATTTATCTTTTTATGATTTTTAACAATACTTGAAAAGGTGGAAGTTTATTATAAAGTGAAGTGGATGGAGTATATTAATTATTAAATGAGGTGTGAGAAAACGTAAGTAATTAAGGGTAATCGTAATATTTTGTTGAGTAAATTTTATAACTGGTCCTCTATAATAAGGAAGTTTCCTTATTTAGTTATCTAATATCAAATATTACCCCAGTTGTCATTCTTTTATGGGTATCTTTCCACAAATAGTCCTTTTTTTGATCTTCTATCATGTTGGTGTTAATTTGTGGGTCAAAAGTGTAATTTCACAATGATAATATTTTTTTTGTCATACACAATTACAAATGCTCTTCCATTTGCGTCGTTTGTAAATTAGAATCGTTTTCTACTACAATCATATTCTACAAATGTGGTCTTTCGTTGGAATTCTAGCCCACAATAATAGTCATTATTTTTGTGTTATTCGCTTAACCAATATCAGAACATGTCACTAGACATAATGTTGATGTCAGATTATGCTTTTAGTCTTTAAATTAACACCAATATGGCAGAAGATAAAAAAGACCATTTTGTGAAAAGACACCCTTGAAAAAAAGATTACAGGAGTAATATTTGATAATAAAGGATTAAATATGGAAACCCTCTCTTTTATAGAGGACCAATTATAGAATTTACTCTATTTTATTCATATATATTAAAAAAAGTAATGAAAAATTATTTTCTAGATAAAAAAGAGTATTTAAAAATATCTTTTGGGACAAAGAAAGTTTGATTTAACTAGACAAGGGGTTAGAGTCTGACGATAATTTCACCCCAAATCCGCGCATGCTAACCCTAATTTTCAATTTTAGCATGTTAAAACAAATTTATTGATATTTTAATTTTATACTCTTTGTCCAAAAAAGAAGTAAACTCATCACTATTCAAAAGTCACAAATTTTTTTATTTATTTATACATTTTGATTGATTAATTGATAAAAAAAATATTCTTGTCACATTTTATTTTTTAGAGTTTTTGATATAATTTATAAATATATAATTTTTTATTTTTAATTCTATACTAATATTTAAATAAAATAAATTTAAAAAACTAAAAATATCAGTTCATCTTGCAAAAAGTATAAAATATTTTACAACGAAAGGACTATTAAACAAATTCAATGCAAGAGCCCACTTGTTTTCCAAATTTTCTGTCCACATCGAGCGGGGGACAAAAGAATCCCAAAAGAATAGCTAATTTACATTTTTTTAATACTCTCCCTTAGATAAACTAACATACTTCACACTTTTTAGTGTTTTAATTTTTTTAGGTCAAATTTTGATACGTTTTTCCCAGATGGAAGTAATACTTTTTTTTTAAATAAAAGCAGATATACTAAATTAACGAGACTTATATAATTCTCACTTTTTAGTTACGTGTACTGATTCATTACAATTCACAAGTATAGTTAAAAACCCAAATAAACGCTAGTTTTAGACTCATTGAAACTAAAAACTCAACTCTTGTCACAAGAATTCAAAACCTTAAGACTCATTGAGACTCAAAACACACTAACAAAAAACCCCCCAAAATGATGACTTCAATCATATGGTATTTTCTTGATGATGATGAAAAAAAAGCCTCAATGGGGGGTCGGAGCTATCTGGTTCCACAGAAGAGGAACAATTAGCCGTTGAGCCATATCCAAGACCACGTGGACTTGCCGACACGAAAGCAAATAAAACGCAAAATAAATGAAATAATTAACAGTGCCAGTTCTTCATCTACCCCACTCAAATCGTTAAACTTCACGCCTGCAACATCCCAAACTTCATTTCCAAGCCTTCCGATCTTTCTTCCTCGCTGGCAAAGAAAACAAAAGAAAGGGCTTTCTACTTTCCCCAAATCAATCAAACCCGAGTTTTGGTCTTGCGCTATGCCATAGTTGCTGCAGTGGATTTGGCTTCAGAGTTCCTCCCGAATCTCCTTGACTTATCTTCTTCTTTGAAGCGATTCCAATCCCGGCCTCTTTTCACAGCCATCTGAAAAAGAACAGTCTACAGTAACTTTCAAAGAAAAGTAAGAATCTTTCTCTCTCTCTCTCTCTCTCAATTTCTCTATCTTTGAATTTGGGGGTTATCTCCCATTGTGTATGTGTATGCAATTGGTGCTGAAGTTCTCAAGTTGTGAACTTTTTGGATTGAACTGAAAGCCCATCCAGGCAAAGCTTGAGATTTTCATTTTTTCAGTTGGAAGTTCTTTTTTTTTTCTTCTGGAATTTTTTTGTCTTTAGTGAATTAGTTGTCGTTTATGCTTGAATCTAAGTGTTTGGAAACATACCCATGACTCTGTGATTGTGTACAGTTGTTTCTCGGTCTTGCTTGTTCTTTTTTGATTTTTTTTTTCCGGTGGTTAATTTGAATATGATATGGTGTTGGTGTTTGCTTTATAATGACTTATTAAGTCGGAGTAGTAACTCTGGGTTAATTCTAGGAACTGCTGTAAATTTCTGTTCAATTAAATAACCAATTTGTTTGCAAATTCAGCATTGTCACTGACTCTTGGTGTGTTAACTGTTATCCAAAATTAAAAATCACCATTTTTTTCATTTGATGGGTTTCAGTTTTAAACTGGAAATTCCCATTACAGCGCTTTATATTAATATGGAGTACACAAGAAGGAGATATTTGTGTTTCAAGTTTTAATAAAATGGTCTGTTTCAGAACATGGGTATAATGAAATTACTACCTTTTATTCAGGGGCTAGATGGCAGATCTGGGAGATATAGGGCTTGCAGCTGCAATTAATATTGTCACAGCATTAGTTTTTCTGGTGGCATTTGCAATTTTAAGGCTTCAGCCGTTCAACGACCGAGTGTATTTCCCAAAATGGTATCTTAAAGGTTTGAGAAACAGCCCTTCGCACTCCGGGGCATTTGTGAAAAGAATTGTTAATTTGGATTGGAGATCATATGTGAGGTTTCTGAACTGGATACCGGATGCACTTAAGATGCCCGAACCAGAGCTCATTGATCATGCTGGGCTTGACTCTGCTGCATATTTGAGGATTTACTTACTCGGGTATGCTCTTGGACTTAAAGTTAGCAACTTAATGACTTCCTATACTTTTGCGAGACACCTATGCATGATGAACATGCTTTCTTTTCGACCATCTTTCATGATGTTTCAAACTCATCAATCATCATTTCATGCAAATTTCCATTTTGCTTCCTTTATTTACATTTTTTACGTGCAGGCTGAAGATCTTTGTTCCTATAGCATTTCTTGCATGGTCTGTCCTAGTACCTGTTAACTGGACCAATCACACCTTGAGAGACTCCAACTTAACCTATAATGGAATTGATAAGCTTTCTATTTCAAATA